TGTTGTAAAGTTTTTAATTAGGGAAATGGAAAAGTCTGCAATTTTTAAATAGAAAGTAATAGGTAGGGGTTCCTTTTTCCTCAACAATGGTAACTAAACGGGTTTCGGGTTTGGGCTCAGGCTTCAGGGGGGAGCCCCCCGGGTTAAAAGGTTTTCGGTTATCCCTCCCTTCCCTCCACCCCCCACCCCCCACATGGGATCGCAGGTTTGACTGTACTTGGCCGATAACTTATGTATTGTTATATTTTTTTACTTTTCCAACATGAAATTTGTATTGAACTGAATCTTTTGCAACTTTGATTTTGGCCATTATTTTATAACACATGTTTTGCATTTTTGTTGGCGTAGAATGTGCCACGGACTTTGATCTGGTCTTTGTTATTGATGGCAGTGGTAGTATCGAACACGCAGGAGTTGGAAACTTCAAAAAGATAAAGGACTTCATCAAGGATATTGTTAATGGTTTCAACATTGGCTTCGACAAAACGCACGTTGGGGCACTCATCTTTTCTTCGTCAGTCAAAAAGGTGTTTGGCTTAGACGAGCACTATTCTAAATCTGGCATCAATAGTGCAATCGATAAAGTAATATATCCGTCTGGAGGTACATATACGGGAAAAGCTCTACGCATGGCAAGGAAAAAGATGTACACCAAAAGCGGAGACAGAGAGGACAAACCTAACGTGGTTATCGTTATCACTGATGGAAAAGCTAATGATGATGTTGAAGGTCCTACTAATCAGCTTAGAAACCTACCTGCTGCCATATTTGCTATCGGAGTTGGCACCAATTTTGACCGAGCTGAGTTAGAGAAGATTGCTGGTAGTTCAGCCAATGTCTTCACCGCCGACTTCGACAATTTGGGTCAAATTATAGAAAATATCAAGCAATCGGTTGGTAAAGGTCAGTTTCTCTTTGCTGTCCCTAATCTAGCTAGCGACTGTTTTTTACTAAAGTAGTATAGGGCGCACCGGTTGCTCCTCTTTTTTGCGCAGGAATCTCATTAGCGTGCGCAGGAATACATTAACTAGGTGACGTCATATGGTATTGTCTTGATCTCATTAACTTGCGGTGGAATCTCATTAAGTATATCCAGTTTGACGGGTTTATCAATGATGCCATGTTCTATTTTTTATCTTGGGGCGGTCATGGTTGGTATAACCGGTTTGACAGGTTTTAGTTATTTTCGGAAGATGATGTCATATGTATTCCGGGGTACTATGATGTCAAAGTTGTTTTGATTGGTTGACCGGAATTAGAAAGACGCTCATTGGCTGTCTCGTTTACACGAGATTAGTTATAGCGGAGCTCTCGCCCGCGAAGCGCGCGCAGCGGAGCGCCATGGGTAACAAAACGTGGTAAACTATACCCATCCGAGAAAATTTAGTAATCAATTGACCGTACACCGACCGCCCGACCGTCCGTCCGCACCAAAGGCATACCAATGTAAAATAATTCAATCAAAAGGGAAGGCAGCTGTAATGTACCAGGAATTTGTATATACCTGGTTGAAAAAACGTTGTCGCTAAAAAGTGTACTATGAACAATAAGGTTTCAAGGATTTATGGGTATACGTTCATTAGCAAGGCAAATTCAAAGTTCTTTTGTCAAAAGGTTACATGGTCACGAGATGCTCGTGTGGATACAAATCCCTAGAGTACTTTGTTTTAGGCATGCTGTTGTCTTTTTTGTCTTCCAAGAAGCTTTTAGGTCCTATCTTATGATTTTTAAGTGTGCGTTAGCGATATATGGCTACACTCTTTAACTGCAGAAATCTCTTATGTGTCTAGCATTGGTAAGGTTGTGAGTTTTGACGTTTTTTGGAATACATCTTCGCGAAAAGCTTCGATAATGTAAACATTTCTGAAAAAAAGCTTTAAATTTGCAATGCTGATAAAGTTCTACCCATAAATCCATTAGGTCCCATCGTTCATGGTTTATACTTTTCAAGCAACAACGTTTTTTCAGTCAGGTGTATCAAAACAGGGAGAACTCAACACCATTTAACTATAAGTCTGTAAGCACATGGCAAAAGGGACCTAAAGCACATGTACGAAGCGCATAAGGATTCATGGGATTTGACAGCAGCCCAAATTCAACTCACGGTTTTAATGGAAAGAAATCGCATGGCTACTCGGGCTTTTAGAAAGAAATAACAACAATAAAGTCGTGTCTTTTTCGACGTTATTTTTGATGTTTACACTCACGTGGATAACAGATAAGAGAAAGAGCTGGAGCGAGTGATTGAAAACAAAAGAGACTAATTTTGTAGGAAGAAAACTTTTGAACAAAACAGCGTTGTAGTTGTGCAAAACAACGGCAAAAAAAGACAAAAAAGCGTGCTGCACATGCAAAT